GCATAGGATCCATCTTCATAAATGATACAAGCCCCAGGCTTCAAACATGTTTTGCAAAGGAAAGGTCAAAGGAAAGATTTAACTTCTTTCATTTCAAATTCTAATGTTTAAGATATTGACTGGAATAATAATGATTCTGTGACCTTTTGGCAATGTTTTCAATAAGGCATTGCAAGCTTTACTTTCTTGTTTCTTCTGGCATACAGGAGAAGGAAATCTTACTGAATGACTATCAAAAGCAAATCAACAAGTATTCCAGCAAACCAAGAACATATCAATGCATAAGTGGTGGAAGCTAAGCTCCCACACATTTTCTTGTTCACCGTTCCCACAGTCGGATGTACAGAGGAGAAAACAGAAAAAGACAGAAGTGAGGAAAACTCACTGAGATAAAAACAGCCTAATAAATAAAAGTGAAGAATAACAGAAAACCAAAACGCAAGCGATGCAGAAGTAATTACTTGCCATCTCCTACCAGTGGATCAATATCCAGCCAGTTTCCAAGCAATGGCTGCTCTTAGAAAAATTCACCCTCTCTTCCTCCCTGTGCTTTCACCTGAAATTTTATAACATGTGATATTATATGGCATTGAGTATGCCTTTGGGACTGCTGTCCCAGCTATGTCCCCTCCCAGACTCTTAAAACCCCTAGTTTATTTGCTGGCGGGGTGGGAGAGTGAGAAACAGAGAAGACCCTAACTGTGTAAAAAACTGTTAGCAATGGCTAAAATATTTGGTGTATTATCAGCATTATTTTGGTCACAAATTTACAACATTCAACTAACTACGAAAACACTTAAATTCATCCCAGATGGTACAATAGCTAGGCTGTGTGGATTGTGAGAGAAGACTGCTGTCAAAATATTTATCTATCTAAGAGATCCCTGTGAAGGAGAGAGCTGTTGGAGACTGAGGATCAGTACTGAAATTAAACATTCAAATAAAGAACTTGTATGTTCAGATCTAAATTCTCTAATTAAGAATAAAAATACTCAGTTCTTCCACAAAAGCACCGTTGTGAGTTCCATAGTTGTATGAATATGATAAAAGCAAATGTCAGTATTTTTTTGTGCTGGTATTAGGCAATAAGAACCTGTATTCAATTATAGTTGCCAAAGGTAATTGACAAAATGTACTCACTCTCAAGAAGATAAAATCACAGCATGAGCAGGTACTTGTATTTTTCCATCTTGAGCTTTCCTCCTGAAAAACACCTGGGCACATCCACTGCAGATCACTGAATGTTAAGATCACCTGGAAAATCCCACAGGGCCAATATAGAAAAAATTCATTTTGGAGGAAAGTGGGCAAGGAGAAAGGACAGCATTATCTTGCACTACAGTGATAATGCTTCTGTGCTCAGATTCTGAAGGGGAGTGTGCCTCTGAGAGCAACTCTTTCTTCAGGTCACCATAAAATTGCAACCAGTGGGACTCTTTTCTTTACAGAGACCTGGATGAGAGTGAAAATGTTCAGGTCCCAGAAGCCTGATATTAATATGGTAGAGGATGTTTGACTTAGCAGGACAATCTTACTTCAGCAGTGCAAGAAAATGTCTTGCACATTTTTTCAATTGAATGATTAAAATTTTTATAGTAATAAACTATGAACACAAACAATTAGGAATGGTGAACCTCTGTAGATAATACTAGCATACAGAGCAACTAAATTTTTCTAATTATAATTATCACATTTCAAGGATTCACTGAGAAATTTACAAGCAACACTTAATAAAGGAATTCAGATACATGGTACATAAGCAAAGACACATAATTCTAGCTTTCAGTAATTTTCTTTGCATGCAATTTTAATATTGCATAGAACTTTGAATATTTTCTTTTAACCAGCTTTTTTTTTTTTTTTTTTTTTTTTTTTTTGGTGACAGCCAAAATGGTAAAATCAGCAGCTGATTCTGTTTTGTTCACTTCTGTCATCTGCTTAAATTTCTTTTTTTTTAAAGAGACAATAGTTCTACTGCAGCTTATATTTTACTCAAGCATAAGTTGTTCGTTGCAACTTGCTGATTAAAAAATTAATTTATTTTTTCAAAACAGATTATTTCTGTTCATCGTAACTCTCAATTGCATCTGACATAAAAAAATAAATAAAAAATATTCACTTTAACTCTGCTGTTGCAGGTTATCAGGTTACAACCTACAGGGGGAAAAAAAAAAAAAGTATTTGAATGTGAACAGTTTTGCTTTCTTTTCAAAGTCCAAAGTTCAATTGCGCATGAAACAAGGGCAAGTATCAGGGGCATAATAAAGTTAATTAATGATTAAACAGAAGAAACAAGAAAAGTTTTAAATAACAACTGTGTGTTCAAAGCAGAAGAGTAGTTTGTCAAAGTAAGCAAGTGAGATAGCACTCTTATGCTGCTGAATTATAATAGTTCGCATTAAATATTGAAGGCATTGAGGTAGAAAACTGCCCTAATTGTAGAAACAATGTATTAAGTGATCTAATGGACCTTAAGAACCTCTTGCTCTATAAACAAATGAATTTCCCTAAATTTCACAATTAGTAAAAGGTCTCTCACCTAAAAACCAAGTTTATTTTTCAAAATAAGGAACAATTATTTCCTTACTACATGATGGTTGCCTACTGTATTGAAGAAAAGCAAAGATCAAGACAACTACATTAATCATTAAGAACACAGTGTTCCATTGCCATCACATAGAGCTAAAAACATTATTTAAAAAAATGAAACAAATGTGCAACTTATGTCAACCCTGGCTCATTACTCGCTAGGTAGCGTAAGGGATTATTTTCCTTGAACACTTTTCCTATGATAGAAATTTGATAACACATTTGGCCTAGACCTCCCCTTCAAATCAGCTCGTAAGGCCCCAACATATTAATTATGAATCAGAAGCTGAAAAACACTTCAAGATCCAATATAATTTTTGTCTGACATTTTCATTAACAGCTTCCATACTTAGTTTGACCAAAACTAGCTTGTAAAATGAACAGAATGTTTACACACTGCAAAATGTTTATAATACATTTTGACTAATTTTGATAAAATGTGTTTTTAAACAAGAATTTTTTTTTTTTAGCTGAAGACAAAAAAATAAGATTTAAATTTCTTAGCATGTATACAGAAATCTTCCATAAGGTTATTTCTGATTTTCATTTAAATTAACACATTTAGAAAGTTAAAAAAAAAAATAAAAGAAAATGTTATGAACTGCCAAATCAAGTCAAAATAAATAGAATTCAAAAAAACAATAGAAGAGTTGCTTTGTTTTGTTATTTTGTTATTTTTACAGAAAACGTGACAAACATCAGATTAAACAGTGTGGTAAGCTTGCAGCCTGTTATATTGTAATAAAATTACTCTAGTGTTGACAACTGCTTGGTTGTACGTATTTCTTTATGAACCCTGTTTAAAAGTGTATTTATTGCATTAGTTATTAATGTTTTGGTATGAACAGTTATTTTTTCATTTCCATTGGTTATGGAAATAGTAACAGATTCAGCTTTGTTTTTTAGACATGCTTTGGTTAAAGGTACTGGAAATAATTCAGAAGATGGATAAGATATTACTGATTTGGCCATACTTTCATTAGGTATGAAATTGAATTTACCTTTCAATTACATATTTCTTACATAACAGATTTTGGACACAAAAGTAATACAAGAATCTGGCATCGCTTTGTGTTATTGAGCGTGGAAATTTAGGTGATGGTGTGGTTACTATATTATCTCAGCAAAATCTTTTGGTTTTGGAAGCAAGACAATTTAGAGTATTTTCTGCTTAAAGCAGTAACAAATACTTGTTACAAGTAGTCTTCAGAGCTCCTCTGAGGCACATGCAAGTATTGCTCTCCCAGCCTGGCCAGTAGATGCTTTAATCACAGTTAACTGGCTTGCAGCAAGTTAGCAGCAAGCCTGACAAAAAGTATGAATAGGCCTTCCACTCTAACATATTCACTAGCTTTTTTTCTATTATGCTCTCTGATCAATTTTTAAACATCTACTTGTAAATTCATGTGGATATAAACCACAATGAAAGAAACATAGTTTGATAAGAAATTAAACACTGAATCGAAATCACGGTTGCAGATAATTAACCTATCTCTGTGAAGAAGAAGTATATGAGCTCAAATTAAAGGTTTTGCGATTCTGGAACAAAAATTCCCAGGCTGTGGGAAATAAAATAAAACAGTTGATGTACAGCTCACACCTTCTCATTTCCAGTTGCCAAACTCCAATGAAAGAATTCTTAAATGCTTCAATCACTCACTCCCCAGTATTAGATGTACATACAGTAGGTATAACCCTACAAATATCTACTGCATCTAAAAGTTTAAATACCAATAGATGTAACAACACTGGACTTACGTGTATCTAACACCTCACATATACACAGTCATGATGTTGCAGATCATGTTACAAATGTAGGTAATTTGTAAGATTTGGGTGGCAAACAGGAAACAGGGTGGCAGGGGAAAAATTTGCAGGATAGAAAATGGAATAAAAGATCTTTAATAATGTCCTTACATTAAAGTAGCCTGCAGTGTGAGCAGACAGGAAAACAGGATGAGTTTGCAATTTTGCATCATTTGACTTTCTACTGTTTCATAAACTGCCTACAAGTTACAGATCTGTTGGTCTTTAAACACACAACAGGTAGTCTTGCCTTGATTGGATATCTTGTCAAATTGATTATTTCAGTCAGAACTAAAAACTATGTGAAATAAAATTATGACACACTATCTTCTTGGTTGTATCTTTCAGAAAATACACGTGAAAAGTATTTGTCTCCAGTACCAACTGTATCTACTTTTGAACAGCCACTTCTTTTGCCTTTTAAAGAATAAGACTGGACTAACCATCTTCTTCCTATGGTAACTACAAAGTAAATATTAATGAGACAGTAAATACAAATTATCTAGTTTTTACTATTACAGCTGTTATTTGTAATGGCTTCCAATTGCTTCCTTTCCTGCCTTGTTAAGCAGTCCTAGAGTTCTCTTTAGGCTATGGTCCCTTGCTTTATTCTTTTTTTTTCCTCAGGCTCCATCCAGTTCATGTCTCTCAGTCTTTATCTCCATGATAATCCTCAAGTTGTTTGAACTGTTGCATTTGAAGACTTCCATATTCCTTTGCAGTAAAAAAAAACAACATGCACATGTTTAAATATGTATGCTGGTTTATATATATATTAGGTATTTCCTTCCATTCTCACTCCACTTTCCTGTCTTAAAAAACCGACCCCGATTCTAGTGCCAGCATCCCCTACTTATTCTCTCCTTGTCAAATCTCTTTACTAAGGTCTAACTTTTCAGCTCTGTCTTCCGGGAAGGAAAAATCAGGGCTAAGTGTCCTCTGGTTCTTGTTATAATACCTCTTTCATTTTTCTTTCCCAAAAATCTTGTGATCTTTCAGCCTTTGTTTAAAGCTTAAATGGTGAACAGCTGCTTGTTTTATATCAACTTCCCAAATCAATTTGTTGTCTTCCTTTCATTGCCTTACAGAAATACAGAAATACTGAAAGGGATCCAAATGAAGGGTCAAAGTGGGGACACACTAAAATCACGGTTCACAGTGCAATAATCTTCCAGAGGAGAAACAAACCTACTTTCTATCCTCTAATGGTTCGCTCCATGCAGAATTTTATTCAGGGCAGGAGGAGTCTTTTCTGTACACAAAAAATATTAGATGTAAAATGACATACAATATTTCTACAGGGCTAAAGACAAAAATTTCAGAGTAAGGAAGGAAAAATTATTCAGTGTAAGAGATACAGAAATTTGTTATTTTTTGGGATACATGGAAAGAATTGTAAGTAACTTACAAGAAATAATTGACTCTTGCATTATGTCTTACAAAATTAGCTTAACACACACACACACACAAACAAAATACCCTTGTCTGTTTAAACAGTGTGGCTCTGTGATTTTACAAGTTGTCAAATGTACTTGCTCCACACATTAACATATGTATACATACTTTTATTATCTGATTGAATGATTGGTAAGTCTTTTCTCAGCATAAACAATGTGTATACCTACTATTTAGCCTAGTAGTCACTGTTTTTCTTCTAGTGCTTATGTACCAAACACAGAAGCAAATCACTGTAAGTGGTCAGAAGTTCTGAAAGATTTGGAGCAGATCAAGACATCTGAAGTAAGTTCAAAAGAAGTCACTATTTCATAAGATCATAGGAGCAGACATAACTACAAGTTTAGCTGTTTAGCACAGTACTCAGTTAAGAGAGTCAGTGACAAGGAGTATGAAATAGAATATTGTTTGTGTAGTCATTTAGGGAATAGAAAGCTAAAGGGAACTGGAGATGAAGCTCTTTTTTTTTTTTTTCTTCCAGAATTTCTTTAATTGTATAAAGCAAAAAGAAAGGGGCAGAGGGCATGGGAGTCAGCCCATTCTGCAGGTTACTAGGTCACCTAGGTCACTTTCAGATCTCTGTCTCACTGTGTTCCAGTATCTGGATTAATTGCCATGTTGAACATGAATCCATGGCTCTAGTGCTTACTTCTAAGCCTGTTTGTTATTGTTCGTAATTACAACTCCTGTTTCCTTTTAGGACATTGATGTCAGTTTATATACTGCAAACACAGATGAAGATGTAAGTATAATTGAAATTGGACTCAAACTGGTCTAACACGTTAACTTAATCTCTACACTAGCAATTTTTTCCAAAGGTAGACTTGCACTCATTTGAGAAAAGTTTCAGAAACCAAATCATTCGCCTTGGAAGGCAGAATTCTGCAAATTAAATTACTTATGATAAATTATGTAAGCTGGTATTAAATAATTTTACTGAAGTAGCTGCTATTCAAATTATTCAACTAATAGGGATGGTCTAAAATGATCTTATCAAAGCCAACACTGAAAAATAATGTTGCTACTCATTTGTAATTGGAGAAACTGAAGGAGTGACAGAGAAAATACCTCCTAAGATTATTATTTAACACCATGCACTAGAATTCTATAATAAGAAAAGAAGTTACTTACTTGAGAAGTGCAATATGGAAAGGAACTGTGAACATCTGCCAGTGCAGTTTCCTGCTTTTACAGCCTAGAAACAAATAATATGTAATATCAAGGATTTAGCCTTGTAATTGATGGAGATTATGATTTATCCTACAAGAAATAAATTCATTTTTAATATAATTGTTAACTAAGTTGTGGGTTCCATAAACTCATTCCTGAAGAGACTTTTTCATAATCTACTGTGGAATTCAGTCTTTATTCTATGCAATCCTCTAAGAACATGAATGCAACCAATAACCTCCTCGTAGCCGTTACTTTTAGCATGGCCCTGGTGCAACATGAGCTGGGTTCACTGTTGTAGCGAAGTTGGCAGTAGCCTGCTCCTGAGACAGCCTCCTCCTGACAGCATAAACACAGTGACTGTGCCAAATGCACACAATACATGATTCCTGTACACAGACTTAATGAGATTTCCTAGAAATAGCGGACTTACTGTATCTGTGCAAAATAATCTCAGTGTGCATGCAGAATATAGTAACACTGATGCATTCACTGGACCTAAAAAGCCAGAGAAAGCAGACCCTGATGTATCTGTGGAGTTAGCCCTGTACACAGTAGGAAAAAAAGCTGCAGAACATATACGTCCATACTCACACACCCATTCCCGTGACTGAAACGAGCTACTGAAGTTAATACATTATAAAGGCCAATTTCTTAGCTGGTAATGTCAGGAAGACTTTCTTAAAGTGGAAAGGCTTGATGTGAAAATCAGACAACTTGGAGCTTGTTTTTTGGTTTTATTGACTAGGTGGAAAAAAATGGTACTTTTGTGCCATTGGGTTTTTTTTTGTTTGTTTGGTTTTTTTTTTGTTATTTGTAAAATAAGGGCATATATCCACTTCTTTTTTCTCCTCCACTCTCCATTATTCTGAATAATGATCTCTCAATATAAGTGCTAGAACTACTAAGAATATTAATTTAATTCCATTAGTGTTAATTCTTTCCCATATTCCTATCCTAATTATTATTTTCCTGAGTTCTTCGTCAAGACATAGTGCTTCACTTTGTTGCAGGAAATTGGCTGGCCTGTGTGTCATATATTAGCTCTTAGTTAATTTTTGCAGATATTTAAAAGTATTTGAATACTAATAACAGATACTAAGTAAATAAAAATCATCACTTTCTGGTAAATGATATCCCACATTCACTTATCCCATTTTAATCTTAAAACAGCTACAACTTCCTTTTATTTATTTTTTTCCAGAAAGAATGCCAGGAACCCGTAATGAGATGCTTTTTTTTAGAGATGAAAGTGATTCTTCATGAATGTAAAATCAGAAAATGTAGCAGAACACAGGATGTATTCAACATCTGGAAAAATGGAAATGCGAGATTTGAAACTAACCAGGTAAGTAAAACCAAAAGTCTGTGGATAAAATGGAAATGATAATAGTTTCTTCCAAATCAGAAATTCAGTTTCTCATAGATTTGGAAGAGGCAAGATGGTATATATATGAAAGCAAAGGGTAATCAACCAGTAACCCATGCACATAATACTGAGAAAATTACACACAGAAAAAGGATAGAGCAGTATTTGGTGATTGTAGAAAAACACTCCCAGGACTCACATCAAAGAAAATACTTGTGACATGCAGACATAAATGTTTGAATGTGTATATATAAATAATAGTTTGTAACTTCAGTATCTAAACTTGAGTATGTTTACTGGCAAATAAAGAAGTGTCCTGATTTTCAAAGGGATTGGTGACTTAAACCTCTCTCAGAAGCACTGTATCCTTGAAAGGTGATCCTATTCAAAAATCAAGCCAGGAACAAAACATGAATACCTTAGAAGACTCCAGCAGTGCTTTCTGTATCAATTGACTGTGTTGTAACTATGGACAAAAACAGAATTCAAAGGGTTAGTTCTCTATCAGAACATATAGACAAAATATCTTGTTCTACTATTGCATTTTCTTTTTCAGTTGAATTCCACAACATCAAAAAAATGCAAAGAATGTGAAGAATACGAAGAGAAAAATTTTACAGAATTTATACAGAGTTTTGTGAATGTTATACAGAAGGAATGCAAATAATACCATGACCAAAATAAACAAGCTGGGAACAATGACTGTTCAAGAAACATACCTCAGATAAATTAGATTGTCAATAACACTGGACTAAAAAGAACTTCACTTCTAGTCCTATTTGCTCAGAATAAAAAAAAACAAAGAATAATACAATATCTTTAATGTGTGATGTTTTCAAAACTGCATACATACAAATGATAGCAAATTTGAAGTAAAAAATAAAGGAATTTAACATTTTTTCCCCTGGATGTAAGCTGTTTTTATTTCCTAGTAAGTCCACTGAAGAAAAAATATGTCCAACTTACTAAGCTTTCAGTGAAATTTTTTGAGGATGTTCTAAGGACATCCACAGTGGGAACTTCTCTGCAAAAATCAATTCAGAGCTGACTGAATGGAGTTTCGGAGAAAAGCTCTTCTTTTATTATTATAGTATAGAATTATCCCTATTAAAGCAACTGGCAGTAGTTGTTATTTTTTATCTGAAATTCATTATTTTGAAGTCTGGGTCCCCAGAAGTTCATCCCCTGCTCTTTTCTTATGTCTGCCGTGTCTGACAATTTTCTTTTCTTTTTTTTTTTTTTTTTTTTTGAAACAAAAATAAGCTGAGGTCTACTTGTCTTACATGTTCATTGGCTCTCTCATATCCATTTCACTACTGTTTTCAGCTATACCCAGACAGCTGTTTTACCTAGGACTTCAAAGTCCAAAATCAGAGTATTTATTTGAAGATTTTTCCTTGCCTGTTTTTATCTTTTGTATGAAGAGAACTCTGATATTCTCAACAGAAAGTAATGCCAGTGCTTGGTTCTGCTGTTCAATGATAAAACACACTCCATTTGTTCATCATCATCATCATCATTATTTTTACCTCTGACACGCTCACTCATTATTGGATGCCTACCTGTGCTACCTGCTGTAGGGAACCTGCTTTGGCAGGGGGGTTGGACTCGATAATCTCTGGAGGTCCCTTCCAACCCCTACAATTCTGTGATTCTGTGATTATTGTAATACTACAGTTTCTTCAGCAATTACCAAAAATTTAAATCCAACTTCTAACCAAAACGGAGGAGCATAAATTTCATAGTCTGTATTCAGAAGACTATGATCATGATAATTATATTTTATGGTGTCCATATGAAAAGACTGAACGCAAAGTCACCTGTCATTTGCTGCTCTGAAATGCTGAATATTTAGCCTTCAGCTCCTACGTTAACAACTTATTTCCTGGTTCATAACCATATCATATCAACCACTCTCCACTATAAGCAGTTCTCTCCTCCAGGCACCTCCAATTCCCCATCTTCATTTGATAAATGACCAAGTCACTCAACTGTACGCTTACCAGAAACTAAGTCTCAACCTCATTAAGGCAACAAATACACTGCTTGTTACGCCCTTATTGTTGAGTTACTCCCAAAAGTCAATCTTCACCACTTTGAGGAGCACCTTCCAGGCAACCTGTAAACTAACTAATAAGTAAATTCATAAGCACATCAATATTAGGATTAAACACTGGCAGAAGTACTACAGAAGTCATCTTCAAATCATTTGGCACAGCAAGGAAGAAAGTGTTCATTACATAGTTTGGCTGAAGTAATCTGGTTCTATGTTTTAAATAGTTCCTTAAAACAATGACATGCATTTAATGTGATTTCACTGATGTCACACTAACAGGCAAAATAATGTCTGGTAACAACTGTGGTATGGAATCAAAGACACAAAGAGATTTTTCTTATTTTTAGTTTTGAGGAAGCTTGAGATACTGTCCAGCTGTATTTATGATGGGACAAACAATAATATTCAATATTATTCAGTTTTTGTAAATTGCTTATCAGTATCAAGTTAAACATTATGAGCTTGCCTTTCTGAAATACTACTGTTAAGTCTGCGACGTGCTGTTGGCCACCTTCTGTTCAGCATAGGACAAATCGCTTTATTTCACTTCACCTCTTTGTGTTCAGATATTACGGAATTAAAAAATACCATTTGCTAGTTCAGTACTTCAGTATTTCTCCGGAGGCTTTCATTTTCCTAAGAACTATGCTGTCAGCTGGAAGTTTTACTGTGTTTGAAGTGCTATGATGGTAAAAAATCAATATAAAGAGTGGAATAAATTAAGACCACATTAGGTTGGTGGATTTTTTTTTTTGTTTGGATGGTTTATGTTTTGTTCTTCATTTTGTTTCTTTTTTTGGTTGGGAAATTTATACACAATCCAGAGAAACATATTCTATACAACTAGGACATGCATGCATCTGATCTGGCTTGTTGCAACTGAAAGAAGAACAGTAAAATCGAACCTAGGGTGTCTTCTTTCCAAGTAAACATTCCCAGGAAGAAGGAAGTATTTCCTCTGCACAAGTTCTTATCATGTCCGTGGCACTTAGGACCTAATGTTTTCCAACTACTCTTGGTTAATGGTAAGAAAAAGATTAATACTGTATTATCTCCAATTAATCCAACTTAGTTCAGGAAAAAGCAATTTGCAGCAGTGCATTTCTAGGTTTGGAAAGAAAAATAACTCTACCTTTTGACATGACAAAGGAAAAATAAGTTCTTCTGCAAAAGTTCTAGAGCACATAATTCTGTGTTATTGACTTACTTAGCAGTAATTCGTATCTTCTATATTTCTGCATCTTGACCTAGCATTTAATTCCATATTTTTGGATATATTTTAACAGGATAATGCAAGTAGTACTAGTACAACAAGAAATTCTGTACCTGTCATCCTCTGTTGCTTTGTTTTATTGGACTCTGAACTGAACACAAATATTAGTTTCTCATCAATAGAATATCACTTCCTGTACATCTGAATATTTGAGCTCCTGTTGGTCAGGTCCTCTGCAGATATCTTAGGCAATGTCTGAAATTCCTCACACTTATATAATAATCATTAGCTTCTTAAAACATAAAAGAGAATTCAACCAATAATTCGTATGGCCCAGATTTTCTTTTTAGCTGTTTATCTACACAGCATGATCAACAGATATCAGTTTCTGCAATCTCTTGCCATCTTCTGTAAATTCAGGGTATGGCATACCTTATCAATTTCATTTCCACTGTATACATTTGGTCCTTAGAAGTAGCATCTGACAGTTTCCACACAACTTTTAATTTAAAATTAAAGTCAGTTCAATTTCTAAGATTATACAGTGATTTAATTAAGCTAGCGTTATGACATATTCACTGCTGAGTCCACTGAAGGAATACTCTCTTCTGAAGTAAGCATTTGCCTACTAGCTGGCCCTTTCACAGATACTTAGTTTCATGGATGCATACATCTATAATAAATAATCATTACCCGGAGGCATTGGTTCATTTGTTCCTTCTTTAACCAAGGTGATGCTGTTTCAATGGGCAAGATGCCCTCAGTGAGAAGCTTGTAATGGGTTCACCTGACAGTAGCCATGGGCAACAGCCATCTCAAGAGCCAGCAAAAGCTGCTTTTCCCTGGCAGAAACAGATGACTCGTTATTTGACCTGGGTGACAGTATGAATCTCCAGTCAAATTTCCTTTTGAGGGGTCCATGTAAGTGATTGCCGATGCTTGTTCAAATGAGATCTTTCTGAAAGCCAGGAGCATGAATGGTAGTGGAAAAAGGCAAATTCTGAATAGCAGCTACCTCTCCTGTTGGGAGCTTTACTATTCTCAGAAAAACGTAACTCTGAAAAGTGGATTCTTTACCTACAGTGAAGTAGCTGGTGTGCGCTCTGGAGAAATTTCAGGTTATCTATCTTAGTTTGTACAGCTATGTGAGAAAAACCCTGTTGGGAACATACATCAAGATCCACTTTCCACATGGTAAAAGTTTAAAGAGACAATTAAATATGCAAAGAAGTATGCAAAGAGCTTCTCTAGAGGCAAAGAAACAAATTTAGATACTGTGCTCTCTTTGGAGTGTTACTTCTGCAGATTATGAGGAAAAGGGTTAATTCAAGTTTTTTGCAATAAAAATAACAGCCTCTCTAAACTGTTCCTTTCTAGTTATTTTCCTCCAAAATCCACATACGCTGGAGAAGAATTATCATCTTCTTGCCAAAAGGCTTACTTAGACCAATAGCCAATAACTTAAGCTTTACTGCATTAAACCTATTAATACCTTGCCCTTTTCTGAAAGTTGTTATTAGAGGTGATATCTTCTTTTACAAAACAAACTGGTCAGGAATCATTCGGATTTCTAAAAATATAGAAAATATATGAAAACAATAAAGAAGAAAATATCTGCTCAAATGACTGAGTCATCTGTATTATGGCATAGGCAAGCCACTAGCTCCAAAAGTGAAAAACTTCTAGTATAAGGAATGAAGTTAGAACATAAGCAGAAGTCAAGTGGATTTCTGGGAAATTTCTTGAGAGATAATAGAGGATAAATAAGCTTTTTTTTTTTTTTTTTACCTTAGCATATAAGTGAATAACTATCCTGGTTCTCTTATCTCTGAATCTAAACCAGATTTTTCAGAAATTAAAAACTGGGTAATGGCTTTAAAGCCTCAGATACATGTTTAATGTGGAGAGAAGCATTTGAAGAAATGTCACGAGTCTAAGGTTTGGGGCAAAATCTATAGAATATCATCTTGTGAAGCAAAGAAATGAACTGATGTGTGTGCCTTCATCCTCCATTTGGAGTCCATTTGGAGTCCACCTGTAGCAACAAACGTGCATCAGAAACATCAAGAAAAGCTGATGAGATTTATAACTTAGACACTGATACTTTTAGACACAGATACTTTTGACTCCTCTCTCTAAACTTCTAGCTACATCCTTCCAAGTCTAAAATCACGACCAAAAAGCCCATTCCTTCATAACAAGGTGTACCATATGTTGAAACCAGAGCCTTCTGTCTTC